TTCTTTATCTTCCTTTTTTTTTTTTTTTTACAACTCTATAATTTAATTTACGATATATTCTTGCCCCCCCCCTCCCTTCCTGCGGCCATTCTCTCCTTCTTTTAATCTTGTTCTCTACCTTCGCCCTTCCCTTTTTCCCTGTCTGTCTGTCTGTCTGTCAGTCTGTCTGTCTGTCTGTCTGTCTGTCTGTCTGTCTGTCTGTCTGTCTGTCTGTCTGTCTGTCGTTGGCAAGATGTTCAAATGTTCTAAAGCCGAGGAAACACCTTTAAAAAAATAGAGGGTGAAACACTATTACACTGTTTTAAAACTGAGCTTATATTATGTATCTTTTTTTGTGTTGCTTTTTCAACATTTAGAATTTGAATTTGGACAAACTATTTTTCGAGTACAAGCAACCGATACCACAGGCTAAGAGACTGCAATTACAAAAATAGTTTTATCATTTTGGCCTTGAACATCCGAACTAGGGCTGTACCCCGGTAGCAAACCCGCTCGTGCTCGCAAGCCCCTAGGTCAAGTCACAAGCCTCAAATCACTAGGTCAAATCATCAAATCAAATCCCCAGCATGTTAAGTTGAGTCTAGCGCAAACTGTAACCTCCTTGGTCTAGTCTAAACTTCAAGTCCACAGCAACTAGCAATCCGCGAAGCCACTCGTGTCAGGCCCCCTCATCATCCCCACCCTGTTTGCAATCTGCGAAGCCACTTACGTCAGAAAATGAAAAAGAGAGAGGGGGAGAGTGAGAGATTTCGCCCACAGAGTCACTGCGCGGCGTGGCGCTGTAGTTTACTCGATTAATCGAAGGCCTGCGCAAAGCAGCGGACAGTCCTCAAGCCTCAAATCCCGTCCGCAGCCACAAGCCCCACAATTCACACAGTACTGATTTGCGCTAGGCCTAGAGAATTGTCCCAGGACAAGCTCTAAACCTGATCTGCTGACTTGTACTGTCTCGATACACCGGGCGAGCGGCACGCCGCAGGACCGCTCGATGGCGCAGGACCTAGGCGATCATAAATCACCGTCTAGCGTTATATGATCGTCTAGCGCAGGACCGCTCGATGGCGACAAGAATGTGATGTGTTCAAACGGCAGTACTGCTCGCTGTATGAACTTTGAACCGTGGAGGAAGGGAGAGGCTGGGCTTGTTTTGGTGCAAGGC